GGGCTGGCTGGCATGTGGTGCTGGGGGATTGAACTGCGGTCCCTGTGCTTTGCTAAGCTTGTTCTAAGTAGGTGCTTTAGACCACTGAGCCATCTCACCAGGCCCAAGCACTCATTCACTTTCATGTATAACTAAAATACTAATAAGGATGGCAAGTCCAAATAAAATCAGATTTTTATATTTCTTTTGTCTCACTACCTCTACTGAATTACAAATTTTGACAATAAGAACTATCAATGTCTTTAAACTCTTAATAATACTAGTAAGAAAAGACTGAGACAGTATTCAACCAAAAGGCTAAATTAATTATTACTGTTTTCTAAATGTGTTTCTTTTTAAAATCAGAATATACTCAGCACACACTACATCATAAATTTCTTTTACAATCCCTGTACTAGCTAACCCTCAGTGAGGACTACATATGGCATTTGGGGGAGGGCAAAGGAAGCAGAATGATGAATCTTTCTATATCACTTAGGGTTACTGCTATGGAAAAGCAAGGAACAGAACAGGAAGCATGAAGGAATGACTATCACCATCTCAATCTACCACTGCTACCATCAGCAGCAACATCTGAAAGGAAACACTGAAACTGGTAAGTAGGGTACAGCACAAAAGAAAGCATACATTTATCACCTAATAGCAATTAAAAAAAGATATGCTCAGGTTCCGCAGCCTGGTCCCAAAAGCATGTAAAAATGAACTGAACATTTTCTATCACCACAAAGAAAACATAAGGAAGAGCTCATTTATAACAGAATAACATCACGGCTGTTCGCAAATTCTTCTTACTACGATACCTCAGAAAAACAATTTCAAAACAAATTACCTGGTGTTTTTGGTCAAATTATCAAATTGTCATTGCTATTCAGACATATAATTACTAAAGCAAATACAAATAGCAAAAGATCCTCATAGCTTCCTGATTCTTACCTGTTCACTCTCCTAGGACATTTGTCTGGTTTAATGTCTACTTCATAGAGGTAGACATCAATCTTTGGGATTTCAACTTGAAAACAATTAGCCAGCAGCTTAATGGGTTTGCCCATGGTGCCATAGCCGGGTCTTCTGGGCACCATGAGTAGGGGCTGGGCCCCAACAGGTCCTGTCAAGGAGAAGAAAAAGAAAGTCTGTTATAAGCTGCATCGGAGAATCTTGTCAAACAGAATATATTAAAATTATAAGTATGGCTTATAAAAATTAAAGCTTAGTGCTGAATATGACATCATTCCTAGGAATTTGACTTCCTTCACCCCAATTTCTTTGTAAAAACAAACAAGTGCTGGGGGTGAGGACGCAAGCCTATAATTCCACCACTCGGGAGGCTGAGGCAGGAAGATTGTCAGAAGTTTTTTTTTTAATTTTATCGAGAAATAAATATGAATGAGACAGTTTCAAAGCTGATTAATAGGTCAGTTTCGATAATCAATACATTG